TAATTAATTATACAATTTTACATTATTTTTCCCTCACCTACAGAAATTGTGTAAATAATAGCAATAAATTATAATAAATAGTAAAGATGATTGAGAACAGATGCACATCCTTTAATTATTTTTAATATATATATATATATATATATGTGTGTGTGTGTGTGTGTTACTAATATTATTGAATATTTTATATAGCAATATTTATTAATTAATTAATATATTAATTATACATCATATATTTGTATATGTAAATGTAATACAAAAAATAATTACGTAAAAAAAAAATTATACTTTTATTCAAGGATGCATTAAATTAATCAAAAGTGAAAGTAAGGGCATTTGGAATGTTACAAAAGAGTTCTATTTCAAATAAATGCCGTTCTTTTGATTTTAATATTGAAAAATATTAAGCAACAAAAGCTATTTTACATTACATTATAATATAAAATATTAAAATGTATAATATTCACTTCTTTTGATAATAATAATAACTTTATTATTAATAACTGAGCACCAAATCAGCATATTATAACGACTTCTGAAGGACCATGTGACACTGAAGATGGTATCTATATGTATTATTATAATAACAATTAATATGTATTATTATAATAACAATTAATAACATGTTTTATAGGTAACCTAAAAATGTGCTTTATTAACTGAATATCCATCTTGTCTTTGTGTCTCTCCCTCTCGAGCACAGACTGGAGAGAGAGCTGGAGGAGCTAGAGACAGCTGTATCTGCAACATCCACCAAAGAGGACCTGTCAGACGCAGTACAGGAAATCAACACCAAGACAGTCGAAAAAACGGTGAGTTCTGACCGGCAGCTCTTTCTAGCCCATGAACTTCACACCAGGGCAGGCAGCAGGGGATCCTCGAACCTTTAAAGCATGACACACAATGGGGGACTACACAATGTCCGGCTACACAAAGGCCATCTTGATTAAGGGAAGCGATGGGTCTCAGTGCTTACAGTGCAGGAATCAGTCTCACTCAAGCAGCAAGCACTAAACATTCAGGACTGACAGGCTTTTGCCCTCACTGGTGCTGCATTCAGAGCGGATTCCATAGCAACAGCAGCAATGCTGCTACAACACTAATTATTTTCTCTGATTAGTCTTTTCTCTCTCTCTTCTAAAGTACATCATATGTCACTGTCCAGTGCCTGCTGGGCTCTAGCGCTTACCGTTTATGTGTTTTGTCATCAGGACTGTTGTTCAAAGTATTTTTATTTGAATAGATTTACTGCAAATAAGAAACGGCAACTTAGAGTTCAAGTCCAAATGATCAGTTTCTATGGAAACGCTTATAATGACAAAACAGATCCACGTGTGGTTTTTGTTCATGACAGATAAATACTTATTTACTAATCCTCTTACATGTTCTTGCAGAAAGAAAGCACATGAATTATGTTTTGAGGCACCTAAATGTCTTGAAATGTTGAGGCTACTGCCATTCAGGTTTTTATAAATGACATAGAATGAGAAAACACACTAGTTTGTTTACCTGATCCACTAATAATTTCCATTACAGTATACACATCTTAGGACAATTGTCTTTTTTCCTGAAAATCATGAATCATGTTTATGAAGCAGAGTCATTTTCATCACGCCTCAAAGGATGTATTGTGTTCCAGTAACCTAAAAATGTGTAAATAATGAAGATAAATGAGAACAGGTGCAGATCCTGTAATTATTTGTAATCTATTTTTTTTACATATTTATTTTATTACTTACATTATTTAATAATTTATATAGCAATGTTTATTAATTCAATAATCTATTAATTATACATGATATATTCTTATATGTAAGAGTAATCAAAAAAGAAATTAATACTTCTATTTAGCAGTGACAGTGAAGACATTTATAATGTTTATTTCTAATAAATGCTGTCCTTTTGAACTTTCTATTCATAAAAGAATATTGAAAAAACATATCAGGTGTCTACAAAATATTAGACAGAAAATCAGGTTTTACATATTAATATAAAATAATTTTACTATTTGATTTTATAAAATTATTTATTTATTAATTATAATATAATTTATTTTGATAGTAATAAGAACCATTATTAAATAGCATTCTGCGATGGAAATGATGGTGGTGGAAATTACATTTTAAACATTTATGGAATTACACGGCTGACTCTTTAGCATTTTTAAGGCTAATTTCATAGCTAGCATTTTATGTGTGTATGTATTCTACACTCAAAAGCTGTCATTGGGGTGTCATTTGCAAAAAATTTGCAAACTTAAACCCAGAGAAACATAATAAAATCTGAAACTGCATTTCATGACCCTTCAACACTCATCTGATATAGTACTCCTGTAGTAAACAGACAAAATGATGTGTTTACAATAACAAAGTAATATATGACTGAAGACTGTATTCGGATAATTCATGTTTAATTCAAACATGTATAATTTGGATCAGTCAGATAAGATTTGAACACCGTTTTCTCTTTCTTTTTGCAGGTTGTGACAGACTCTGTAAAAGGTAACGTCATCATGACACCAGAAACACCTCTTATAATTGCCTTTTCATGAGCAACATTTGATCAAATTCAAATTTAAATCTCAAGAGCAGCAGTTTATACGTTAGCCAAAAGATGAGTTTCTGCAGTTATCCTTGACATATCGACTGCAGTGAAGGACATTGCAGTCAGTCTTGTGTCTACTGTAGTACTTCCTCCTTCCCATCGTCCCTATCTCCCTCCTATTCTTCACTCTTGCTTCTTATACCTTCTTATCATTCTCTGTCCTTCTGTGTCCTCATTCATGACCCAATTAGAGGTCAAAGTTCACGTCAGCCCTCGTCTGGAGAAATCCGGAGGTGTCTCTGACATGATGAGAGCAGGTGAGTGGTCCAACCGTAGCTCACGCAGAGATCACACACTCTTCCTGCTATGTTTACCGTTGAGCTCTTTAATTCTGAGATAAAGACCACATAATGATGGAAATAGACACCATGTGAAAGTTAGGGTTCTCTCTGTCCCCGAAAAGTACACATTTAGGCTACGTCCACACGAAGCCAGAGCTTTCCCTAACCGATCTTTTTTTTCCCCTCGTCTCAAGAAATATCTGCATCCACACGAAACATCTGTGTTAATGTTAGTTAATAAAAAGACAATCGTTCAGTGTTTGTTCATGTTTTTGTTGCTGTTACGTAGCGGTGTCTGACTAGGGGCGAGACGTGGGCTGATGACGTCATCGTTTCAGAAAATATACGGATTCGCTGTCCACACGAAAACACAAGGGCGGCGTTTTCAGATTTATCCACTCTGGGTGGACCTGGTTTAAAAAAATATCGGTTTCACTCTCCCAAAACGCCGGATCTGTCTGGACGAAACGCCTATACGATACAAAATTTATGCGTATACAGCTAAACGCGTCTCCATGTAGACGGGGCCTTAGACACATTTTTAAAAAGCATGAATGTTACTGCAGTAGATCAGTGTTTCTCAAACCTTAGCTGTCCCTTGGCAGAAAACCCTAAAAACACACACATACACCACAGTAAGTCTGCTATTCAATTCAAAAGCATTAATATCATTAAGAAACAGATTTAGAAATGTATTTATTTATTCTTGTTTAGAAGCACTTAAACTGCTCTGTCTTTTCACATTAAGATTTAAATTCGGCTCTGTAGACAGATAAATGTAAAGACGTTTACTGACAGTTTTTCTGTGGGTGAGTGTCTGTTTGGTAACTGTGTGTTCCCTCTGGTTGCTTGGGAGGGTATGTGTGTCTCTGCTGCATTTTGGACTGAAATATATGACTAGATCGCAAAACAGAACGCTTTCTGTATAAACACTTGTGGGTTTCCAACTCACAAATATTGTCCTACGTTAGTGTTTTAAACTTACTAATCCTGTGCTGATTTCATCTAATCTTGTCTTCCAATTCTCTGTTCTCTCAGCTGATGTGTGCTTGCATGTGTGTGTGTCTTTGTGTGTCTGGCATACACACCACATCATCTCTCACTCAAAGTCGAAAAGCAGAAAAACATCTAATAAAAAGTAATTTTTAGAAGTTATACTACCAAAGGATCAGGTTACCATGGCAGCATTGCCTCTGAAACTATTTCACAGTTTTGATTTCATTATGAAATTTATAATTTTTTTTATTTATATATTGAAAAAAATGCATAATATAATATATAGTTTTATATATATATAGACTATGCGCATAAACCTTGCGCGCGGTATACAAACGAACATGAAACAAAACATTTATTAATCTGTGTTAATGTTAGTTAATAAAAAGACAATCGTTCAGTGTTTGTTCATGTTTTTGTTGCTGTTACGTAGCGGTGTCTGACTAGGGGCGAGACGTGGGCTGATGACGTCATCGTTTCAGAAAATATACGGATTCGCTGTCCACACGAAAACACAAGGGCGGCGTTTTCAGATTTATCCACTCTGGGTGGACCTGGTTTAAAAAAATATCGGTTTCACTCTCCCAAAACGCCGGATCTGTCTGGACGAAACGCCTATACGATACAAAATTTATGCGTATACAGCTAAACGCGTCTCCATGTAGACGGGGCCTTAGACACATTTTTAAAAAGCATGAATGTTACTGCAGTAGATCAGTGTTTCTCAAACCTTAGCTGTCCCTTGGCAGAAAACCCTAAAAACACACACATACACCACAGTAAGTCTGCTATTCAATTCAAAAGCATTAATATCATTAAGAAACAGATTTAGAAATGTATTTATTTATTCTTGTTTAGAAGCACTTAAACTGCTCTGTCTTTTCACATTAAGATTTAAATTCGGCTCTGTAGACAGATAAATGTAAAGACGTTTACTGACAGTTTTTCTGTGGGTGAGTGTCTGTTTGGTAACTGTGTGTTCCCTCTGGTTGCTTGGGAGGGTATGTGTGTCTCTGCTGCATTTTGGACTGAAATATATGACTAGATCGCAAAACAGAACGCTTTCTGTATAAACACTTGTGGGTTTCCAACTCACAAATATTGTCCTACGTTAGTGTTTTAAACTTACTAATCCTGTGCTGATTTCATCTAATCTTGTCTTCCAATTCTCTGTTCTCTCAGCTGATGTGTGCTTGCATGTGTGTGTGTCTTTGTGTGTCTGGCATACACACCACATCATCTCTCACTCAAAGTCGAAAAGCAGAAAAACATCTAATAAAAAGTAATTTTTAGAAGTTATACTACCAAAGGATCAGGTTACCATGGCAGCATTGCCTCTGAAACTATTTCACAGTTTTGATTTCATTATGAAATTTATAATTTTTTTTATTTATATATTGAAAAAAATGCATAATATAATATATAGTTTTATATATATATATTTTAAAGAATAAAAAAGGCATATCTATATAAAATTTGTATTTATTTTTTATTGTATGTTTTTGTTTTAATTCTTAATATCTCAGTTATAATTAGATTTTTGTATAGATATGTATATCTATACAAAAAAATAAATACAAAAATCTTTAATAATTGATGTCACAACTTGGTTGTTAAAGGGGTCATATGATGCGATTTCAATTTTTCCTTTCTCTTTGAAGTGTTAAAAGCTCTTGGTGCATAAAGAAGATCTGTAAAGTTGCAAAGACTAAAGTCTCAAATCCAAAGAGATATTCTTTATAAAAGTTAAAGGACCCATATTGTACACCTTTCTGGAGTTTTATTTGAGGTTCTGATGTCCTTAAGAATATATATTTACGGTATAAGTACCAAAAACCATCTCAATATATTTTTACAGCTCTTTTCTCAGGAGCTCTGCTGAGAACAGGTCGATTTTGGTCTGTCTAATTAATATTCATGAGCATCTCTTCTGATTGGCCTGTTGTTTTCTGAGTGACGCACGGCCAGGCCAATCACAGGTAACTAGGCTCAGCGACGTCACTGCGCTAGCTGGAGGCAAAACAAAGGGAGGCGGCCCATTCAAACCAGCGCAGATTCGGCTACATAAGGAGCTTAAAATATCATCTTGTTGTGATGTTGGGTGCCAGAATCGACGTAATACAGCCTCAAATTAGAAATTTGATCACATATCTGCTGCCACTGCCAGACAAAAAACCGACGACAGCTGTGGTTAAACCAAGCGGCAACCTCCCGCTCTCTCTGGTGAAGCCAACAAGGAAGTGACTTAAACTGTAATTCATCAACTGGCCGCTAGAGGCTGGCTGCAAAAGGGAGTCAATCCCATAGACTCCCCATGTTAAAATGCCCAACTTTACAGCAGAAAAAA